CTGTAACGTTTAAACTAAGTGGCAGGGGACGAGACACGAAAGATTTTGCCAGAAATTGGTAGCTGTCAGCACAAAGGATGAAATTTTCCTGCAATACTCTGCTCAAATCCACAGAGGATTTGTTATCGTAAGTTGGTGTAAGGTACTGTAATTGAGGCTCTGTTAGTTCAGCTTCAGTGGCCTTGCCAGTTTGCTTTGTCCACTCAAACAAGCTCATCCATGATTTCAGTTTGTAAGCGCTGGACTGTGGAGAGAACAGCAAGAGCTAGACTCATCAGACTTGCTTTATTTTTGTTTGAGTGGCTCTCAGCGAGGGTTGTCACAGTCAATCAATTAAACTTAATTACTCAGTTTTTTAAAAATCATTGATGAATAGTCATCTCGAATTGGCAATGACTGAGTATCAGTTTGCATAATTAAGTAGTATTTTACATTCTCACATCACACTTAAAAAGGTTGGTTCTTCAAGAGTGGGGATGGTACCATTTAACCAAAAACCATTTAAGCAAGAAATGTTTCTATGTAGAACCCTTGAAGAACCTTGAAGAAGTGTATGAGTGTGTACTGTTCTCTCTCTCGTATCGCGGCTGTTGCGGAACAAAACATTGTATCTTTATTTTTGTCATTTTTAAGTTTTTGACATGATTTGAAAATACCTGCTGCCTTTTATGTTGTGTGTAAGTTTAATGATGATTAACCAAAAGAAATGGCCCAAAATGACTTGGATAAAAGTCTGGTTCCATTGACTTTCAATAAATGTAAAGTATGTTTTTCCTTCTCCTGTAAAGTTACTATATTGCAAATAAGAGGTTTTGTTCCAACAGCAGTTTTTTATTTTTTAGTGTCATTTTTGATAGTCTGTGTTACTTTTAAGAAAAACAGTAAGAAATAAAGTGCTGCTTGATCAGAATCTGCCAAGATTGGAATTGGCAGATTCATTGTTTTGATTTTGGCTGATCTGTCTTGGAATTTTGATGTAAATAAGGTGAGGCAGGTAAATGTGCTTGCGCTGTATTTAATTGCTGCTGCTGCACCTAAAGCAAAATGACATAATTGATGTACATAAGCATTAATCATTGTACAAAAAAATCACTTTCTAAGTAGCACTTTATTTGATTCATGATATCTACATAGACCAAATGCCCATCTTAGGAACTCCAGGTGTAAGCTTGTTTTTTCTATGAGAAAAATTAATGAAGTTCTCGAAAATCGCTGATACATGCCCTTTGGTAAACTAAAATGTTTCAAAGCTGATAAAGTTTGCCGTGCTGACATTCTTTCTCAGAACGTCACCTCTGAGTTACGAGGTCACTAAGCAGCAGAAATACAAGTATTGCTACTTGCAAGCTAACACAGTTGCGTGTTAAACTGACCTCAAGCTTTGTTAAGTGTGTTAAGTTGCTTTAGCAGTGGTAGCTACAGTGTGAGTAGCTAGTGTTGGTATATAACAGTGCTTAAGTTTAATAGTAAATTTATTTCCATGCAGCGTCATTTCATTATAGAAGAATGTTAACATGCTTATATATGTAAAATTATTCATATTTTGACTGCTAAACAACCTCGTAATTCAGAAGATCCAGTGTCATTTTGGCGGGTGATCTTAATCAGCCATCAAAAATTTAGGATCATGCAACACTTGGGACAAAAAACATTAGCAGTGTTTTCTAAACTATAAAAAAGCACATAGTGAAAAGCTTCTGGTCTGAAGGAGATTTGAACAGCTGAACGCTGTTCTGACATTACAACAATTTGTCAGATGTTGATTTGTCACTTAGCGTCTATCAGCTGTATAATACAAGCCCTGATTTCTATGCAAGACAGCTCATAGCAACCTTTACAGGGGTAGGTCTGCTGTTAAGAAAGTTCAGGTCAAGGCTTTCAGAAGAGGGCAGTGGAGTTACTGACCAGGGCAATGAGCTCATCTACTGTGATGTATGAGAGAGCGAGAAGGGGTAAAGATTTCATGCAGTCAGCACCGTGCCCAAAGAGGAGTGGCTCAATTTAACCTGATTCAACCTATTTCTCTCTCTCTCTCTCTCTCTCTTTCTCTCTCTCTCTCTCTCTCTCTCTCTCTCTCTCTCTCTCTCTCTCTCACTCTCTCTGTTCTCCCACTCCACTTTCATTTCGGCTCTGGTCGAGGAGACATGAAGCAGTACTAATGATTCCAATTCCCTCCGACTCCACGGGTCTAATGCAATTAACTGAACTTGTGGAGAGGGAGGGAGGGAGAGGGTCTGGAGAAATTCACCCTTAATCCAATCAGAGCGAGAGAGAGAGTGGTTATATGTATGTGCTGAGCCAAAATGAGCATCCAGTCAAGAGTTTTAATTATAACCCTCACTATATAGAGGAAATCTTTCCTAATCACAGCTCGTCTCATTTGCTAAATGAGTTATCTTGAGTTATTCAGCCCCAAATAATGCAGTTACGTTCAGTGTGGGCATACAATAATTGCTGGTTTGTCATTTTCCTTCCTTCAACTTCTTCTGGTCAAACCTCTCTCAACACGCATATACAGGAGTGTGTGTGTGTGTGTGTGTGTGTGTGTGTGTGTACATGCCTTAGAAGAAAGATTCAGATGCTTAAACCACACCAATGTCCAACTCCATGTACAGCAGTTGAGTTAACTGATAGGTTTGAATCTGACCTGACTGTAAATCTCTGAGTGGAGATGTCACTGATCTGATCCCCAGTAGTCGGAATCAGGCTGGTATCAGTCTTTGTTTGGTGGTGTGTGAGGCAGTGACCAATGAGCAGTTCTGGTCCGCACACAAAGATGGATTAGCATTGTTATGGCCAGTTCATTTCACAGTGATAAGAATTTGGTCAGACTTTTTAATAAAAAAGCACTCTTCCACAATCCCATTTGTCTGAATAGGCAAATAAATTCACATGAATTTTACTGAATTGCAAGAGAAAAGGAGAAAAATCTGGTCTTTGAGATATGAAGGTCTGAATGAAATTGTAAGCAGTAAAAGGGATGTTTTTTCTATTGGAAATGTCATTGAATAAAACAAGTATTCAGTTCCGATGGTACTTGAGTAAAGTGCAGATCTTCCAAAACAATACCTAAGTAGTAACTAAGTACAATTAGTATTCTCCACCCTTGCATAAGTGTGTGTGTGTCTGTGTTGGTTTGCTGGTCAGATTCACTCTCAGTACTCAGGCTGCTTGCTAATCAGGTCAGCAGCTGCAGGTGTTTAGAACTTGAGCCAAATGCTAATTAGCATCATGAACACAGTTGATGTGCGTGTTTTTGGTTTGAGCTGCTTCTCGGTTTGGACATCCGAGATGGGAGCATCTCCAGCTCAACACAGACGTTAACAGCTACTGAAACTCGCTCTAAGAGTGATTAAGAACACACAGCTTTATTCAGCAGCGTTACAGCAACACATCAACACCCTGAACAGCTGTGCTTAGCATTTCATAGCATGTCCCTGCCTTACTGTTTACTCTCTCTGTCTCTGTCTCTCACTCTCTCTGTTTCTCTCCATCTTTTTCTCGCTCTTTCTTTCTTTTTCTTTCCATCTCTTTATCTCTCTGCGTGTCTCTTTTTCACTCCTTTCCTCCCTTTCTTTATCTCTCTCTGTTTCTCTCATCTTTCTTTCTCTCTTCCACTCTCTTTCTCTCCACCTCACTTACTCTTTCTCTTTTTCATTCCTCTCATCCCTCTTTTTTCTCTTTCTGTTGCTCTCTCTGCCTATCTCTTTCTCTCCATCTCTCTCTTTCTTTCTCTCTCTTTCTCTCCATCTGTTCCTCACTTTCTTTTTCTTTCCATCTCTTTATCCGTCTCTATGCCTCTCTTTTTCTCTTAATTCCTCTCCATCCCTCTCTTTTTCTCTCTCTCTGTTTCTATCCATCTCTTTCTTTCTCTCTCTTGCACTCTTTCTCTCCACCTCACTCACTCATTATTTTTCTCCATTCCTCATCCCTCTTTTTCACTCTTTCTATAGCTCTCTCTCTGCCTATCTGTATTTCTCTCCATCTCTCTTTGTCTCTCTTTCTCAGCATGCCCCCCCCACCTCTATCTTGCATTTTCATCATAATCTCAGCGCTGCTCCTGTGAAATCTCCACAGTTTCTAGGTCAAGAATACACAGAGATTAAAAACAAACCCCCCCTCATGCTGAATAATTTATGACGAGGGTCTCGGTCTTGTTTTATTAGGGGGGACAAAACCTCTCGCGCAAACATGCACACGCGTCCTCACACAAATTGGAGGGATTTCCATATAATCAAGCGCTTTAAGAAAAACATCCGATCTTTAGAAACACAACAACGTGACGATCACATGACAAAGAAAGATGCGCTGTAATGCCTGAAGACGGAGCTCAGCCAGGAGATTAGAGCAGCGCAGATTGTTCCAGCAGGCTTCACTCGGTCTAAGCTTATTCAGGAAAATGGAGCTGTGGAAGAGTGGAAGAGTCCTGAGTTGGCCGGTGTCTCCAGGAAAAAGAGCCAGCTCTAATTATTTTACCCAGTTTTCATTCTGTTCACTTCACTCGCTTCTGCATGTGTTTGTGCTCAGGTGCTAACGAGGTTTGGATGAGGGAAAGCTGATTCTTCTTTATTGTTAATCAGTGAAGCTCCTGAAACACAACAAATAATGATGTCAAGCTTGACTACGTTTAAGAGACTGGAACACAAAAACATGGAGATCAGTCAGACGAGTTGCTCTCTGATCTTCACTCCACACTGTAGAGGCTGAACAGCCTCAGTCTGCACTGATTTACTGCCATAAACTAACTCTAGAACCAACTCTTTCTTTCTTTCTTTGTGTATTTCTGTATTTTTGTCTATTGGTTTTCTTTTTTCAATTTCTTTGTTTTTGGTTGTTCTTTTCTTTATTTCTTTTTTTTCTTTCATTCATTAATTCTGTCTGTATTTTCTTTCATTGTTTTTGTTTATTTCTCTCTCTCTCTCTCTCTCTCTCGCTCTCTCTCTCTCTCTCTCTCTCTCTCTCTCTCTCTCTCTCGCTCTCTCTCTCTCTCTCTCTTTCAGGATTACTCTGAATGGTATGAAGGTCTCTCGGCCGGATGTGCGGATTGGTCGGTACAGGATGATAAAGCATGAGAGGGATAAGCACAATGAACCAAACCCCCAGAGGTGAGCCCCCTGCCTCCCGCTGCATCATTAACACTCACACTCACAGCACACTCTCTGGTCTATATAAATAACAGAGTTTACTTGCATTGAGCTGCAGCACTCTGCTGTAGAGGCACTATATTCACTCCCACTCTGTGGCTTTTGATACATTGATCTGAAATGTACAAGAGCAATTTAAGATCACGTTGCTCACAAATGTGTGTGCTTGAACACTGGCAGGCCAGCGTGCTTTTCTCAGGCTCGTACGAAGAAGAAATGTGTAGGAGGAGGTGCTTCTTTCAGCGCCTTTATATTGAATGAACAATGTCAGTGTACTCAGTGATGCTCCATAGTGAAAATTCTTGGCTAAAACCAAACTTGAAATTCAGGACGTGAGGGTTTATTTATTTCCCTTTTAACCCTTTTGTGCTGTTACATCAATTTATCTGTATTAGTTTATTTAGCTTCTTGTTCATGAATGAAACTTTATAAAAAAAAAAACTACAAGCACTTTTGTTGATGGGCTATCCAGAGGGCTAGCCTAAGGGAGTTGATGTCTCTTATTGAGTCACTGACTGATGTATCCCTGACTGACACTCATTATTCAAACAAGCATGCTCAAGTGTCTCTCAAGAAAGCAGCAGGTGGTGCTATACACCTTTCAATGCCACCTTCATGTTCTCCCAACACTACCAAAATAAGGCCAACAAATAATGCAAGAAAGCAGAAACATGTTCATTAAAACACATCATGGGTCTTACTATAATGATGACCTAAGACAGGTAAAATAACGTGAGAACATGTATTTAAGGTAAAGCTATGTCTGACTTCAGTTGGAATTTTCCCATTATCTTGCAGTTTAAGCAGCCTTATTTAGCTTTTTTTGGTTGTTCCAGGTGAAGATAAAGTCATCAAGCACTAGTACATGACCACTAAGTGCAATAGTATGTAAACTTTAATAGTAATTTAATGTGTCGATTGCTATTTTTGGAATTATTCCTTTTAAAGAGTTCGTCAAGTTAACATTAGCTAGCTCCAAATCTGTACTACTATGCTAGTGCTGCTGCATAGTAGGTACATTACTGTGCTAAATTAGGCCTAGCTGGAGAGCTAGCTAAATCTCTGTCTTCGGATTCACTCAGGACATAGCAGTAGACACATCCTGTCAAAATTATGAAATTAATTATGAAATAAGACCACTTTCGTTTTGAGGCACAAGGTGAGGATTGCCAGCATGGGACGCATAGACCATGTGCCTTCAGGCAGGAATGGCACTGCTGTCATAAGGCGTCCAATATTATTGTACTGCATTCCACTTATTATTATTATTATTATTACTATTACTCTTAATATTAATATTATTATGTACATTTGTGTATTGAGGCCACTCCGTATATGTCATGAAGAAGTAAGTCTACACCAAAAGTTTTGACTTTTTCAACATGTTTGGAGATACAGATATCAAGTCCTTATGTATAACAGTGCTGATAGATAAAGGAGATATAATTTAACAAGTGACACTTAGAATTATTATTTTTGTCATCCTTTATATCATTGAAATGAACAGTAAAGCAATGTGGAAAAGGTAAGTAGAGCCCTACATATATCACTACTCTAAATGTGTCAAGATAAAATCAGATGTTAATCATTAGCACACTTTTAAAGAATATTGTGGAGGAACTTGTCTTATTTAAACCTCAGATATCTGGTCTGGTTTGCTCTTTATTATTGGAATGTGTGGTACTATCATGTCTAGATCAAAAGAGCTCTCGGAGGCCTCCCTGAGAATCTGGGAGGGGGTTTAAGCAGATATCCAAAGTATTGGAAATCAATCATTCTACTGTTCAGAAGATTTAAAACCACTGCCAACTTGTCCCGGGCACGCTGCCTCAGCAAATTTAACCCAAGAACAGTCCGTAAGATGCTAAAGGAAGTCTCTAAGAACCCTAATCACAAGATCTACAGGTAGCTCTTCCCACTGTAGATATAAAAGTGCTATTGTTAGAAAAACATTGCACAAATTTACCTACATGAGAGGAAGCCTTTGCTGTCTAAAAAGAACATTGTGGCAAGACTAAAGTTTGCTAAGAAACATCTAGGTAAGGATCGGGACTTCTGGAACAATGTGCTATGGATAGACAAGTCAAAGATAGTTATTTGGCCACAATACCAGAATCCATATTTGGCAAAAACCAGCATTTGATCAGCAGAACCTCATACCAACTGTAAGGCTTGGTTGTGGAAATGTTATGGTTTGGGGCTCTTCTGTGCTGCCTCAGGGCCTGGCCAACTTGCAGTCATCAAATTGACTATGAATTCTCTTTAACACCAGAGAGTGCTTGAGGAGACTGTGATCTGTAAAAAGTTGAAGCTGAAGAATTGGACCTTCCAACAGGATAATGATTCTAAACATATAAATAAATCTTACAAGGAATGGCCTAGTTAAGGCCCAGAGCTGAATCCCATTGAAATGCTATGGGGGGATTTGAAATGAGCTGTACATGCAAGAAACCCCTGAAACATTGCACAGCAAAAATGTCTCGCAGTAGATGTCAGAAACTCGTAAACAGTTACGTAAATGTCTACATAAAGTTGTTTCTGCCAAAAAGGGCAGTACTAGTTACTGAAGCCAGGGGTGTACTTCCTTTTTCAACACACAAAATGACTTCTCAGGTTTTTTTTAATAAATGATTGCAAAAAGTCAAATTTCCATGTTTTTTTTTAGTTCTATAAGATAGCATGTATCTGTGCATACTGTTTAACTGAAGATTAAGTACTGATATGTCTACATTTCAGAAAAAGATAAACATTTCTTATAGACTTATTTATTTTTGCCCATTTATGGCTGGACATTTTTGTGGCCAAAACTAGTGCCTTCCTAGTAGAACTTGCAAAGTGAGCTCTGTGTAGAATTTTGTAAAGCATCCCGTGATTGGGATCGAATCCTAGTGGTGCCGTTGCACCGTCCATGACTGGGAGACCACAGGAACGTAATTGGCTGCCGTGGAGAATGGAGGAATGAATGATTGCCTCTTTCTGTCCAGTCTGGGTGTCTGTTTGTTTAGTCACCTGATGGGCATCTAAATGTGTCTTGGAGTATGAAAATATGAGGATCAGGCTTCACAAGCTTCTCTTTCAGATTGCACATTGGTAGCATGGTCATGCAGTATGAGAATAGAGATACGTATGAATTGTGCATTAGAGATGACTGAACTGGAGGAAAATAATACGAAAGTACAAAGGAGTTTTAAATAAAGAATGTGCGCTTTGTAAAGGCCGCTTGTATGAGTCATACAGCATGCTGGAGAGTAGCAGCGTCCTCATGTGAACTGATGTTCAACTTTTCCTTTTCACACTCCAAGTGCAGTTAGAGTTGTGCACCTCTGCTTTTTCCATGGATTTGATCATATGAACTCATGTTGAGTTAGAGTTTATTCGGAGTTTGAAAAGTCCTGGTATCAGTGGGTGTCACTGAATGAAAAAAGCCCAATCAGAGGCCCCATCTCTTGTATGTTGGGTTGTGAAGATGGATTGTTCTCAGGCAAAGAGAATGCAGTGAAGAGCAACAAATTGCAAAACAATTCCAGCAGCTGACACAGGCAGTGAGAGGTTAGCTCGCTCTTTATCAGTCGTAGATGGGGCTCATGGTGAGACAGCGAGACAGAAGAGCAGGACAGCCATTAAAAGTTGGCGATGGTCTTTTCTCTGGCGTGAGCTGCAGCTCATCTCATCTCAGCACTGAGTGGATCTGAGTGAAGTGCACTTTCTTTCTCTGCATCTCTCTCGCTCCCCGCTCTGCCTACATGTCGGCCTTTTCCATCTTTCTCTCTCTATATCTCATTCCCTCCCTTTCTTTCTCTATCACTTTTTCACTTTTAATGCCCTGACCACCTTCTTAAGTCTCTCTCCCTCTATTGCTGTCTATCTCTTTCTTTATCTTCTCTCTCTCGCTCTTTCTCTCTGCTATATCTGCCCCACCTTCTCCCTCTATTACTCTTTCTTTCTGTTTCTCTCTCTCTGCTTTATCTGCCCACCTTCTTAGCCTCTTGTGTTCATCTCTCCCTCGCTCTTTACCTCTCTCTATCCCTCTTTCCCCTTCTCTCTGCTCTGTCTGCCTACTTTTCTTTCTTTTCTTTCTCTCCCTCTCCTTTTTCTTTACCTCCCTCTCTCCCTCTTCCTCTCTCTCTCTCCCTCTCCCTTTGTCTTTCTCTCTCTGCTCTCTGTCAATCTATTCTTTCTTTTTCTTTCATTCTTTCTTGCTTTTTTTCTTTCTTTTTCTTTCTTTCCCTCATCTATCTGCCCATCATCTCTCTATCTCTGTCTGTCTCTCTCTCTGCTGTCTGTCTTTCCTTTCTTTCTTTCTTTCTTTTTCTTTCTTTCTTTCTTTCTTTCCCTTTTCCATCATCTGTCTGCCCATCATCTCTCTATCTGTCTCTCTCTGCTCTTCTTTCTTTCTTTGTTTCTTTCTTTGTTTCTTTGCTTTCTTTCTTTCTTTCTTTCTTTCTTTCTTTCTTTCTTTCTTTCTTTCCCCCATCTATCTGCCCATCATCTCTCTCTCACTCTCTCTCTGCTTTGTCTGTCCCATCTTTTCTTTCTTTCTTTCTTTCTTTCTTTCTGCCTATCTGCTCTGTCTGCACCCCCCTCTCTGTCTTTCTTTCTCTCAACGACTGATTCTGATAATGGAGATAATGAGCTCTCCTCTCTCCTTTAGCTGCACGCTACATGCTAAATTTCTCTCCACTGGAGGGAAGGAGGAGTGGAGGAGAGCTGCGCATCTGCGCTGACAGTAATGAACCCCATCCAGTGGTGCTGAAGTGGGCCTTCTGTCACAGGCAGGCGGTTTGTTTGGGTTCTGTCATGCATCGGAATAATCGGCTACCTGCGGCCCCTCCCTCTGCTCCCACCCATACGGACTCAGAACTTTGCCGTGGAGTGTTTTTATAGGCTTCAGTTAACCCAGAGCAATTCCTTTGAGAAGGTCTCTGCTGGAAGAATGCACACGAATGGGGGAAGTGATGGGT